CGTAAGTCTCTGCTTTCACTGATATGACCCAGTCTATTTCACTAGAAGACTGTTTCTGCCTCAGCATCCTGAATCATGGCCCCAGAAGAATGTGTCCATACTACATTGAAGGGTAACAACAGTAGGGTGATCTGGGTGTGGAAATGAATTGGGCAACAGTGTTGATTTTAGAAGACAAGCCCCTGTGGGCTTCAGAGCTGAGAATTTACTCCCACTTCATATAGCTCATTCCTCACTAGTGTCTCCCTTTAAAAGGAGGGACCATGCAAAGACGTTTCGGATCCTCTTGTCTTGATCAACTATTAAAGGTCAGGATGCCACATAGCCACATAGATTAATAAACCTCAGTTCCTGCTCTGCAGAGAACAAAGTAGTAGTTGTAATCATGGAATATTTGCTTTGTCAAGTGTTTTAATTACTTAACTAATGATAAAGTTGTCTTACTTCATTTTCTGTTGCTCTGGATGCATACCTGAGGCTGGGTAACTTCTAAAGGGCTTTTCTCTTTCACTGTTCCCAAGTCCAAGAAGTCAGTGAGGCTGGGCTGACATCTCTTGTCAGTGGTTGAAGGCCTGGTGCTGTATTGTAACAAGGTAGGGGATTCACATAGCAGAAAAAGCCAGTGTGCAAGCTTGGGTCTTTCCCTTTGTATAAAGCCCCCAGTACCATTCTAGTACCTAGCCCCTTCATGATCTCATCTCTTATCACTTCCATTCGGCTCTGCCTTCAAAAATTAGCATAAGAACTCCCGGGTTGTTTGAAGCACATAAACTTTGGAGAGAAACATTTAAATCAAAGTATCTGTTAGTTTGGTGTTTTAGGCTCTCTCTCTCTCTCTCCCTCATATATATATATATGAGGGTTGGATACAAAACCCAGTAGAGTGCCCACTGAGCATGTGTGATTCTCTGGGTTCATTCTCCAGTACTGGGTTGGGGGATGGCACTAGTTTGTTGAAGGCATAGCTCTGTTGGAAGTGAGTGTCCTGTATATACAAGGTGAAGGTTTTGATCCTCAATACCACATAAACTGGATGTAATGGTGCATGCCTGTGATCCCAGCAATCACTAAGGATATAGAGACAAGAGGCTCATGAAGTTTGAGGGCAGCCTGGGCTATATGAGAATACCCCATCCTCCTCTGAACACCTCTGTTTGTGTGGGGAGGGGGAAGCAGTGAGATGAGGTCACCAGCGAGTGTTAACCAACACAACCTTGTAAATTTGCTTAAAATATTATAAGATTTATATTTTGAAAAAAGTTTTTAAACTGCATTGCTTAGATCTTGAGTGTGAACTTGTAGATTTACCATCTATAGTAATGCCACATCACAATGTCAAAAGCTTGAACATGGCCAGGAATGCTGGTGTAAACTTTAGCCCCAGCACTCAGGAGGTAGTGGCAGCAGATTTCTGTGAGTTCCAGGCCAGTCCCATCTACATAGTGAGCTCCAGGTCAGCCAGGGCCACACAATGAGACCCTGCTTCAAAAAACACATACAGGTAATACTAACCCACCTACAAAAACTTACACCCCAAATTTATCCTGCTTACAAGATGTGCATGGATAGAACGTGTACAAGATAGAACAGATAGAGCAAAGACTGAGGGAATGCCCAAGCAATGCATGGCCGAACCAGAGACTCACCCTATGGGAGAGTGCCAACCTCTGACACTATGAACGATACTCTGCTGTACTTACAGACAAGAGCCTGTCAGAGTTGTCCTCTGAGAGACTCTACACAGCAGTGCCTCAAAACAGATGCTGAGACTCATAGCTGAAGTTTGGGCAATGTGAAGGGAGTCTTGTGGAAAAGTGGGAGGAAAGAGAAGAGAACCTGGAGGTGAAAGCAGCTCCACAAGAAGACCAACCGAGCCAAGTGGCCGGGGTCCAGAGGGGCTTGCTGAGACTGAAGCATCAAGCAAGGACCATGAATGAACTAGATGTAGGCCCCTTATTAAGATGTAGCATATGGGAAACTTAGAATTCATGTGGGTCGTGTAGTAAGAGAAGTAGGGGCTTCATCAGACACAGACTCACTTGCCAGCTTTTTTATTACTTCCTGCTGGTGGGACTACCTTGACAGGCTACAGGGGAAGAGGACAAATTCAGACCTGATGTAACTTGAAGAGCTGGGGTCTATGGGAAAGGGAGCTTCCTTTTTCTGAGGAATAGGTGAGGGGAGAGGGAAAGGAATGAGAAAGGAAGTATGGGACTTGGAAGGGAGGACGGATGGAGCTACAACCAGGATGTAAAGTGAGTAAAAAATAAATAAATTAAGAAAAAAGCATACACATTTTTTTTCTTTCTAAGAAAGGTTAGCTGGACACATATGCCTGGATGTTCAGTGTGTGTATATATGTGTTTGTATGGATGTGTGCATGGGCTATGTTCTAATATGCATTCACAGTCACTTGGGCTGGGAGAATGGTCCTTAGAGACATCTGGTTTCTATGTGGTATTTGACTGTGACTGGGACCACTTAGCTCTGGGAAAATGAGCAGTGTGAGATTCTGAAAAGGGGAGTGTGGTCATGAATGAAAAGTACATCTTGAAAATGAAACATGCCACTATGAAAAACAAAGCCAATATTCTCCACCAACGAATGAGAAGGGGCTGATTCCTCAGTTCGGGCTTCTGTGAAGTTTCTGAGAATTGAGCAGTTAAACGTCCTTCATCCCTGTGGTGTAAAAATGCTCTCTGCTTGTCACAGTGTTCTTTACTGTCATTAGATGCTTAGAAATGGTGAAGAAAAAAGGGACATAAAAAGTCTCACTCTGTTGTTTTGGGCAGGGCTTGTTAGAGTCAAAGGCACAGGCCAAGCCAAACTGCATTTGAAAATGGCAGGCTGTGTGTATGGCACAATAGTTGGCGCTATGGATGGGAAAGAAAGAGACATAGACTCTGCCCTTGGAAAATGTGCTGCTCACTTAAGGAACATGCTTACAGACACAGAGACAATCATGGGCTGGGTTACAGTTTGCATCCCACATGTCTGTTGGTGTTATAGTCTTGTGAGAGCTGACCTGAGGACAGGAACCTCAGGGAGCTTTTTAAGAATTACGCTCTTAAACAAACCCAACTCCCCTTCTCCCAAAAGCTACAGATCGTCATGCATTTGACTCTTCTCAGGTCTCACAAATAAAATTTTATTGGAAAGCAATCATAGTGTGATAGTGGGTAGAGGTGATCAGGAAGCCTAAACCTTGTGTTTCTGGATCTTTAGGAAAGTGTGTGACAGGCCCATTTGGACTCACTCTTAAGAGAGGGGATAACATAGTTAAGTGTTTGCTATTTATCAGTAATCATACTGCTTAAATAGCAATCTCAGGATAGTTTAGAAAGTATGTCTCCAACCATGGTAGGAGGCTAGATCCCATTCTTTCACCCATGATCCTGCAGTACTTGGTTTCTGCTTATACAGCCTGTTTTCAATGCTCTTTAACCATGCTGATACATGGTTAGCTACTTAACACAGGCATAGGTAACAGAGTTCTATTTGGTGAACTTGAAGGAGGAACCAGAGTTTCAGGGGGGCACACACAGCCTCTTACCACCCTGAGAAGAGAATCACCCCAGTTTCTGAACTCCTGAGCTCAGTGGGGCTAGTGAATTTCTATTGTGTTAAGGCACTAGGCTTCTGATGAATGTTGTTTCTTGCTTACTAGTTGTGGGAGAAATGAAAAGAATCCAGGACCTGTACTGAATTGAATTCCCAGTCCCAAGGGAGTTTTTGCCAATGTGGGTAAAAGAAAAGTGGCCAGTTGACAGTATCAGAGAAGTGGCCATCTTCCACTGGAGACTGCTGGATTATATTATAACTCTGTTAGATTTCAGCTGCAATTCCCAGACAAGAACATTCATGCTCACCTAAGATAAAAACATTAGTCTCTATCTTTGTAGCTATTGGGTTGCGGGAGTGCAACCCTGGGGTATAATTATTAAACACTTTTATTTTTGCCCGATTTGCTTCTTCACTCCACTAATTAGTCTCTTGCTTCTAGATGACCACAGTCACCTTCAAGTAATGAAATGTCTTCTAACAACCAATCAGTATATTTAATTCAGAATGCTAGCCAAAACATTTAGCTTTGTTCAAGGTTATACCTACATTTCTTTGCCAACTGCTATAGCTGTTTTTGTTTTTAAAAATAGTATCTCATGTATTCTATGTTGTGTTGAATGTATTACTGTGTAGCAAGGATGACCTTGAACTTGATTCTCCTACCTCCACCTGTAAAGTGCTGGGATTGCATCAATGTGTGGCCATACCCAGTTTGCGTGGTACTGTGAGGGAAACCCAGGGTTTTGTGTATGAGGGTAGCATTCTATCAACTGAGTTTCACCTCAGCCTCTTCTATAAATATTGGGAAACTTATTTTGACTCATTAGTCCCTTCCTATACTTGCTCTTAACTCTTGTGAAGTCAGAGGAAAGAAGAAAGGAAAGGGACATTCCCAGCTTCTCTTTCTGTGGGTCAAACATCCTCAGTAGAGAAGGTGCCTCCGGAGAACCTTTGAGTAACTACATGAACCAGCTGTGAATCCTGCCATGTCCAGTCCAGAAACATCGTGCTGGTCAGAATAACTTGATCATTATTTTCCTTCTTTCTCCCATCAGTATATCTATATTCCTGTCTCATCTAGTTTGCTTCCTTCATTTTCTCCCTTTCTGGTGGATGCTTCTCCATCTTTGCTCTTCAATAAAAATTTCTCCTTTTTTATGCTTCCTTTACTTCCAAGTCTTCATGTTCCTGGGTTGTTTTCCACAGGCATTGTACTGGCTAGTGGTTTTCTTTTTTTGTTTGTTTACTTTTTATTCATAATCTTAAACTTAACTCTGCAACCCAGCTAGACTTGGAGGGGAATGAGGAAAATATGGAACCCAAAGAACTTTAGTGAGAGCAGAGATTACAGAGTACTTCAAGCAAATGAGATGGGGTGCTCTCCTGAGCTACTGAAGGAATGGTCTGGTGGGTAAGATGCCCAGAAGTCAAAAGAATTAGAGTTGCCCACACTCGGAAATTGTGATCTTCTTGCCGGTATTGCCATTCCTGGACCCAAAATGCTCCATGGCTTCCACAATGTTCATGCCTTCTTTCACTTTCCCAAAGGTCGCCTGCGTGGCGAACAGCCAGTTGGTCTTGGTGGTGCAGATAAAACAAAACAAAACAAAACAAAACAAACAAAAACACTGGGAACTGTTTGTGTTTGGTCCAGCATTTGCCATGGGCAAGATGCCAGGGCCTGTATGCTTCAGGGTGAAGTTCTCATTCTCAAAATTCTCCCTGCTGCCAGTGCCATTATTGTGTGTGAAGTCACCACCTTGGCACATGAATCCTGGAATAATTCTATGAAAGGTGGAACCATTATATCCAAATACTTTCTCTCCAGTGCTCAGAGCATGAAAGTTTTTTGCTATCTTTGGAACTTTGTCTGCAAATAGCTCAAAGAAGACACAACCTAAAGGCTGGCCATAGGAGAACATGGTGGGGTTGCCCATGGCTGCAGCAAGTGGTGATAGGGGACAGTGGCACCTGCAAAGCCAAATTGGCTAGTGTTATGTCAACTTGACACAAGCTAGAGTCATCAGAGAGGAAGTAGCCTCAATTGAGAAAATGTTTCTTATAAGATCCTCCTGTAAGGTATTTTCTTAATTAGTGAAGGGCTCAGACCATTGTGGGTGGGGCCACCCCTTGGCTGCTGATCCTGTCTTTGTTTGAGTTCCTGTCCTGGATCCCTTCCATGATAGACTATGATGTAAAAGTATAAGGCACATAAACTCTTCCCCCCCAGTTTGCTTTTGGTCATAGTGTTTAACTGTAGCAATAGAAACTCTAAGACAGGCATCAACTTTTCAATCTAGGTTCCCAGAACTTTCTCTTCTCTGAGCTCCTCATAGCTCAGCCATGTGAAGTGAAATCCTGAAAATTTGACTCTTACATTCCATATTTCAAATTAAATCCACCCTGCCCCCACTCTATGTCTGCCTCTCTGGCTTCCTGATTTTTTCTTACCTGCTTCTGAAATAATGAGCCCATTCTGTGAAGATGGGTTGGAGCCCATTGGAAGAACAGATATTTTTAACCCTTAACATACATTCACATGCCTCCCTTCCTGTAGATGTCAGACTGTCACCTGTCTCACATGCAAATAAGTGTGTTTAATAGGCATGTCAAGGTCTGGGCTTGAATCTGAGCTCCAAAGAGAAGATACAAAGTTCTTTCACTCTACATCTATGAAAGAAAGGGAGCCAGAGACTGTGGAGCCCAAACACAGTTCTCATTTCAAAAGGAGTGAGAGAGGGCAGATCCAAGATGGTGTTGACCAACATGCACAGTATCTGAGGGGCAGAGGATCTGAAACTCCGAAATTGGTGAGTGGAGGGGCAGCTGAAGCCAGAACATTGACATTGAGGCTTCCTGGGTGAGAAGGGACAACCGTGAGCTGAGACCATTTGGATCCAGGTCACTCTAGGACTTCTCTGGGGACTGGAAGTGGTGAATATTCAGTCACCCTGCACTTCCCCTTGTCAGGCCTCCCTCCTCGGCAGAGACATCCCACAGTGCCTGCTGCTCCTAGCACAGAACTCCCTGCTAGGTATCTGAGACAGAGAAGGTGGGCCTCCCAGTCCCTCAGTGGTGGGCTGCCAGCTGTATGGGCCACCCAGGTTCACCAGCGACAGCTATAGGGGCTCCCCAAGGCCTCCCAGCAGGCATCTGTACTGGCAGCCTCCCAGTTGTGCAGCTGTGGCTGGACTCCCAGTGGATGGCTATACCGGCCTCCAAGTTCCACGGCTGCAGCACCACTGAGCTGATCGATCTCCTACACTCCAATTCTCCTCAAACTATTCCACAAAACAGAAACAGAAGGAACACTACCAAACTCATTCTATGAAGCCACAGTCACCTTGATACCTAAACCACACCAAGACCCAACAAAAAAAGAGAACTTCAGACAGACCTATCTCTCTTATGAACATTGATGCAAAAATACTCAATAAAATACTTGCAAACCGAATCCAAGAACACATATGAGATATCATCCACCATGACCAAGTAGGCTTCATCCCAGGCATGTAGGAGTGGTTCAATATACAGAAATCCATCAATGTAATACACCATATAAACAAGCTGAGGAGAAAAACCACATGATCATCTCCTTAGATGCCGAAAAAGCATTTGACAAAATCCAACACCCATTCATGTTTATAGTCTTGGAGAGATCAGAGATGCAAGGCACATACATAAACATAGTAAAGACAATATATCTCAAGTCTATAGCCAACATCAAACTCAATGGAGAGAAACTTAAATCAATCCCACTGAAATTAGGGACAAGGCAAGGCTTCCCACTCTCTCCATATCTCTTTAACATAGTACTTGAAGTCCTAGCTGGAGCAATAAGAAAACTAAAGGAGATCAAGGGGATTCAAATTGGAAAGGAAGAGGTCAAAATTTCACTATTTGCAGATGATATGATAGTATACACGAGAGACCCCAGAAATTCAACCAGAGAACTCCTTCAGCTGATAAACACCTTCAGCAAAGTGGCTTGATACAAAATTAACTCAAAAAAATCAGAAGCCCTCCTGTATACCCAAGACAAAAGAGCCGAGAAAGAAACCAGGGAAACAACATCCTTCACAATAGCCACTAATAACATAAAGTACCTGGGTGTGACTCTAAGCAAGCAAGTGAAAGACCTGTTTGAAAAAAACTTCAAGTCTCTGAAGAAAGAAATTGAAGAAGATAATCAGAAGATGAAAAGATCTCCTGTGCTCATGGATCAGTAAGATTAACATAGTGAAAATGGCCATTTTTTCCAAAAGCAATCTACAGATTCAATGCAATCCCCATCAAAATACCAACACAATTCTTTACAGACCTTGAAAGAAAAATTCTCAACTTCGTATGGAGAAAGAAAAAACCCAGAATTTCCAAAACGATCTTGTACAACATCAGATCTTCTGGAGGTATCTCCATCCCCGATCTCAAGTTGTACTACCAAGCAATAGTAATACAAACTGCATGGTATTGGCATAGAAACAGAAAGGTGGATCAATAGAACCAAATAGGAAACCCAGAAATAAACCCACACACCTATGAATACTTGATTTTTGACAAAGAAGCCAATACCTTTCAATGGAAAAAGGACAGCATCTTCAACAAATGGTGCTGGTCCAACTGGATGTCTACATGCAGAAAAATGAAAATAGATCCATATTGATCACCCTGCACAAAACTAAAGTCCAAGTGGATCAAAGACCTCAACATAAAATCAGACACATTAAATCAGTTAGAAGAAAAAGTGGGGGAAGAGCCTAGAACTCATTGGCACAGGAGACAACTTCCTGAACAGAACACCAACAGCACAGGCTCTAAGAACAACAATCAATAAATGGGACCTCATGAAACTGAAAATCTTCTGTAAAGCAAAAGACACTGTTGTCAGAACAAAACGACAGCCTACAGCCTGGGAAAGGATCTTCACCAACCCTATATCTGACAGAGGGCTGATATCCAGAATATATAAAGAACTAAAGAAGTTAAAAGCAACAAATCAAGCAATTCAATTTAAAAAAATGGGGCACAGAGCTAAACAGAGACTTTCCTGTAGAGGAATATAGAATGGCAGAGAAACACTTAAAGAAATGCTCAGTGTCCTTAGCCATCAGGGAGATGCAAGTCAAAATGACCCTGAGATTTCACCTGACACCCATTAATATGGTTAAGATAAAAAACTCAAGTGACAACACATGCTGGAGAGGTTGTGGAGAAAGGGGAACCCTCCTCCATTGCTGGTGCGAATATAAACTTGTACAACCATTTTGGAAATCAATATGGTGCTTTCTCAGACAATTAGGAATAGTGCTTCCTCAAGATCCAGCTATACCACTCTTAGGCATATATCCAAAAGATGCTCAAGTACACAACAAGGACATTTGTTCAACCATGTTTGTAGCAGCTTTGTTTGTAATAGCCAGAACCTGGAAACAACCCAGATGTCCCTCAACTGAGGAATGAATACTGAAATTGTGGTACATTTACACAATGGAATACTACTCAGCAATTAAAAACAAGGAAATAATGAAATTTGCAGGCAAATTATGGGAAGTAGAAAAGATCATCCTGAGTGAGGTATCCCAGAAGCAAAGAGACACACATGGTATATACTCATTTATAAGTGGGCAATAGACCTATAAGATAGGATAAACATACAAAAATCTGTATACCTAAAGAAGATAAACAAGAAAGAGGACCTGGAGTAATATGATTAATCCTCACTTAGAAAGACAAATGGGGGACCTCCTCCCCATTCATCTGATCCTGTTTTATCAGGTATCTTCAGGACTGGCTGCAAAGCTCTCCTCTGTGGCCTAACAGGTGGAGATGAGGGAGGGAGGGAGGGACTGGGAGGGAATGAGGGATCGGGACACGGCTGGGATACAGAGTTAATAAAATGTAACTGATAAGAAAAAAATAATATTAAAAAAAAAAAAGAAAGAAAGACAAATGGGATGTACATTGGAAGTAGGAGAAAACAAGTAACAAGACAGGAGCCTACCGCAGAGGACCTCTGAAAGACTCTACCTAGCAGTGTATCAAAGCTGATGCTGAGACTCATAACCAAGCCTTGGGCAGAGTGCAGTGAATCATGTGAAAGAAGGGGGAGTTAGTATGACCTGGAGAGGACAGGAGCTCCACAGGGACCAAATATATCTGGGCATAGGAGTCTTTTTCTGAGACTGTGTCTCCAACCAAGGACCATGCATGGATATAACCTAGAACCCCTGCTCGCATGTAGCCCATGGTAGCTCAGTATCCAAGTGGGTTTCTCTAGTAAGGGGCACAGCGACTGTTTCTGACATGAACTCAATGGCTGGCTCCTTGACCTCCCCCCACCACCTCCAAGGGAGGAGCAGCCTTGCTAGGCCACAGAGGAGGACATTGCAGCTGGTCCTGAAGAGACCTGATAAGCTAGGGTCAGATGGAAGGGGAGGAGGACCTCCCCTATAAGTGGACTTAGAGAGGGGCAGGGAGAAGATGAGGGAGGGAGGGTGGGATTGGAAGGGAATGAGGGAGGGGCCTACAGTTGGGATACAAAGTTATTAAACTGTAACTAATATAAAAAATAAAAAATTAATAAAAAATGAATAAGAAAGATGACAGGGGATTGGAGAGCATAAGCAAGCTTTTGTTTACAAAAAATTCTGACCTGAGAAATATTCTCTTGCAAATTACTCCAGAGCATCATTATCTGCCTAAGATTTCCTTACCAGAAACCTAAATGGGAATTCTATGAAATAGAGCAGCATTCACTATATATTAGCTCATGTGCCATATATGCTTTCCTGCTCTTAGGAAATGTTGTCTACTATGCCCATTGAGTAAATTAGTGAGCTGAGGTAACCAATAAAATAAGACACAATTGTGGGCTGATTCTCTTCCCCTCCTCCTCCCACTCTGCCTGTCCCTTTCCATCCTCTGCTGGGATCATAGC